AAAAAAAAAAAAAAAAATAGATGACTGTACCTTGGTTGCATCAATCTTGTCAAATTTCTTCACAAGGTTAAGCACTCGTTCTTTTATCTCATCCTGATTGGTGGCACCAGAACTGCTGCAAGTGCGTATTTGCAAATTGAGAATATTTAACGCATTCCGTCTTTCAGCTTGAAACTGTACTTGCAATGGGATCCTAACCCTCACATACTTCAGAATAGAGGATCTCAAGCTTTGCATTTGAACCTACAATAAGTTGACATTTTAGGACGTGCAAAAGCAGTTTGGGAGATTAGAACATGCAAAAGAAAGAAGGCTAAGAGATGTAGCAGGACCTAAAGAGCAATTCCATTTCATAATAAATGTACTATCATCAAGATTAGGCGTTTATTCTCATTGTTTCCTGTTTCATATCGATGTATTACGAAATTCACCAAGATAAGTTTGTCAAGTGTAGGAAGAATCTGTTAAATCTAAATAGCCATTGCACATTTTATCCTTCAATTACAAGTGTGTTTACCCTGCTGAGTCTGAGTAAAATAGTTGACAACTGTAAGTCTATGACATGAAAAACTGTCAGCAAGTTTGCTTAACATGTACGTGCTATAAACAAATTTCTACACAGGAGAATGTAATGTAGCTAAAAGTACCCGGCTTGACATACTGATACTCACATGAAGTAGTCCATGCATCTTATAACAAGGCTTATTTTTAACAGCCAACACTCACACGTCTATGGTATTCTAAGACTTAACATGCCTATTCTCCACAAGTATATGATCATATGACGCGGAAGTGTTACTACCTCTTTTGACTGGTATGCCTTGCCTTCTGGTATGAGAAGTTTCCTTTGTTGTTAGCCCTGAAAATATACTTATCTTACTTGATCCATGAAATGATGTCCCCGAAAACATCATTGCTTTACATACGACAAGAATGATCCTAACCCCGACAACCCGTAATGTCCAACAGAAACTTCTCAATCCCCAACTCATTAAAATTAAGTCAAACTTACCATTGCATCAGATTAAAACTACAGAACTAGTCTTAGATAAAAGAAATTAAACTACTGGAGCTTATTGCCTGCCGAATAGGATAATGCTAAAGGAAACAAGTGAAAGTACTACTCAATCCACAACCACTCAGTTATGAAGATATCTATCAGATTTATACCAACAGCCAAACTCCGAATTCAAAAGGGCATCAAAATTGCCCAGTTATGCTATCAAAATCCATATAAAAGAACCAATTCAAAATGTTAATTTTCATAAAACCTATTAAAACTAAAGAACCAAAATCAAAATGTAACTTTCACTTCTTTTTTTAAGTTTATAACCTAAAAAAAATGTTAACTTTATGACAACCTATAAACCAAATCACCAAATTCGAAATGTTAGCTTTCATAGCACCCATTAAAGATTACAACTTGAACAACTTGAAGTACCGACTCACCTAGTTTTCAAGTGATAATAGTAAGAGTAAATAGTAAAAGTCCGTGTTCTTGTTTGGCAGAATGCTAAAAGATATATATATATAGAACTGAAGCAGCTGAGAAATAGCAGAAAACTTACCAATTTTAGCTTTCTTCTAAGATGTTTTCTGATTCTTTAGGGAGTGTAATTTTAAGATACTCTTCTGTTTGCTTTATTGCCTCAATGAACGGAAATTTGTAGGGGTGGTGGTTCTGGGCCGGGGATATGGAACACATGGCCCGTGGGAGAAATACACAAATAACCACTCTTTGGACTGCTATTTAGGAATTAACCCGTAATTATTTTATCTTGAAAATCTTCATTTCAAGACTTTGTTTCTTGAAAAATTAAACTGAAAAACTGGAATTTAGGATACATTGGCTAAATTCTAAATAGAAGCCCTCTAGAATAGTTACCTGGTTTATTTCTACCATGATGGCTCTTATGCAGGGCGAAGTGCAGGAATAGCTACTTTAAGCCCGCTATTCAAAATATATTCGTAATATATAATATATTTAAAGATTAGTCAATTCACCCAAACTTCAGGACTTGTCTTGAATTTAAAAAATCAGGACTTAGTGTCCTGGATTTTTGAGCTACTAATTTAAAATTCTTGACTAAGTGTCCTGAATTTCTGAACTATTAATGTACAATTCGGGACATAAGATTCGAATTTCTAGATACAATTTTTGAACTTTAGGACACGATATCCTGAAGTTTGAATTTTGAAGTTCTAGGACTTCAGGACTAAGTATCCTAAATTTGAAAATTCAGGACTTAGTGTTTTGAATTTTTGAGCTGCTAATTTGAAATTCAGGACATAAGATTCTAACTTATGGACACAATATTCTAAAGTTTGAATTTGAGGTTTAAACTCTAGATGTCGTGTCCTGAAGTTTGAGTGAAATTGACTAATCTTTAAATACATTGTAAACTGTGAATATATTTTAAACATGTATAAAAATGGCTACCTGGTGTCATTTTCACCCCTTATGCATAGTACAAATGGCGTGGGATAGCCACTTTTTAACATGGTATTTACTTTTTATCCAGTGTTTTTAATGATGAGCAAAAATAACCACTACTCTATAAAAATTAATATGAAAAGACATTTTTACCCTTTTTCATGAGTGTTGTGTAAATATTAAGGACATGGTGTCCTTAATATTTACACGGCACACTTGAATTTAAGGTTAACATTTACACAGCTCATATGAAGTTAAGGACATGATATCCTAAAGTTTAACAAAGGAAGGTGCAAATACATGCCACTTTGTCCTTAATATTTACACATCATTCATGGAGTTAAGGACACTATATCCTTAATATTTACCAACACTCATAAAATTAAGGACACTATGTCCTTAACGTTTACCCACATGAAGTTAAGGACACCATGTCCTTAACATTTACACTGTACATATGAAGTTAAGGACATGAGGTCCTAAAATTTAATAACAGAAGGTGCAAATACAAGTTAAGGACATTATGTCCTTAACATTTACACTGCACACATGAAGTTAAGGACGCCATATCCTTAACATCTACACTGTATGTATGAAGTTAAGGACATGATGTCCTAAAGTTTAATAACGGAAAGTGCAAATACAGGACACTTTGTCCTTAATATTTACACACCATTCATGAAGTTAAGAACACCATGTCCTTAATATTTACACAGCATTCATGAAGTTAAGGACACCATGTCCTTAATATTTACACAGCATTCATGAAGTTAAGGACACTATGTCCTTATTATTTACACAACACCCATGAAGTTAAGGACACCATGTCCTTAATATTTACACAGCACCTATGTCAAACACAGGAGTATTTTCGTTTGGACGGGTAAAAAATTATTAAGTACTGACTGAAAAATAAATACATTTTAAACAGTAACCAAAAAGTAAAGACATCTCTAAATAGGAGACGAAAGCCACTAAACAGAAAATAAGATTGAGACAAAACAACCTCAAACTAAGACAGAAATGGACACTAAACCACACGTTTCATCCTCGTCCATAAATTTTGGAACCTTCTGTATTTTAGCATTTGTGTTCATCTCCTTTTCCTGGGGAAAGTTGCCAAACTTCCTTACATAAGATTAAGAAACAAATAATTTCTTAAAAGCTAAGCTAGCGTTTGGCTATAGGTTTTCAAATTTGTTTTTAAAAATTTGATTTGGATGACGTTTGGTTTGAAGATGAAAATGTATTTGGACATAAGTTTTTAAAATATATTTCACTTTTTTTTTTGAAAAATATGAAACATGACTTATATCCATAAGTTCTCAAACTATCATAAATACCCAACAGTACCTTTTATCAATAACATTCATAATATTATCGCAAACCATAATCCTGAACATAAATAAATTTGGTACAAAATTATCATTCTTATAATGAACTACATAATATACTATCAGATGATCGAGAAGACGAAACAATATTTTTATAAAATAATAAATGGTGGACTCTTTTATAAAATACAAAATTTTATTTCTTAAAGTGTTTTTATTTTATTACCTTTATAATCAGAATAAGGTGTAGAGTGAGAAACCCAACCTCTCTCTAAAAAAACAACCAAATAGATACCTCTCACGCCAACTCCTTCACTGTCCCAATTACTACATAGGACAAACAAAGAATCTATTATCCATGGAGATTCTCCCTTATAATCAAATTACGTGGAAAAAGAATTTTCCATGAAGTCCTAAAAATAAAAATAAACGAAATCATCAGAGTCATTTCCATTAATTGATCTAGGAGAGGACTACTATATAGTACGCTTTAACAAAGAGGAAAACATGGTGAACACACTGCAAAATGGACTATGGTTCATTTTTGGACATTTCCTCTTCATGCAACGTTGGAAAACCAAATTTTGTGGCCTCCCTCGCAAAACAAACTTTCACTGCTATCTGGATTCGACTCTCCCAACTTCCCATAGAATTTTATGATAGGGAAATACTAAGAATAGAGGATGACTATTAGAAACTTAAGGCAAGAATTTCTTGGATTCAGGAGGGAGATGCCAATATAAATTTTTTTCACACTGTGGCTTCTAACAAAAATCGCAGGAAAAAAATTACTTACTTCAAAGATGATAGAGGTAATTGGATAATGATCAAATGGCAATCCTTCAACATACTTCCCAATACTTCCAAAATATGTTCAACACTAACCACACTGAAACAAATTTGTCTAGTATTTAAAAGATCATACTATTTTCAATAATATAGACCTTGCAACTCTAGACAGAAAATTACTATCATTGGAGGTAGTCAATGCCATCTTTTCATTCAAACCTTTTAAAACTCCAGGGTCCGATGGCGTACATCTTTTTTTCTATCAAAAATATTGGGATATAGTAGGGCATTCAGTAATTGATCTTTGCTTAAAAATATTTCATAACCAAACACTTCCCCCATGAATTAACAACAGATATACCAGCCTAATTCCAAAAATTCCTAATGCCAACAATTTAAAAAACTTCTGATCAATTGGCCTTTGTAACACTATATACAAGATTATTACCAAAATCATTGTAAATAGGACTACAACCATTCATTGATAAAATCATTAGCTCCTTTCAAGCTAGCTTTATTAAAGGAAGAAGAGCTTGTGATAATGCTATGATTATTTAGGAAATTTGCAACCAATTCAAAAAAATGAAAGGTAATAAAGCAAATATGATTTTGAAATTGGACCTTGAAAAAGCTTTTGATAGGCTTGAATGATTTTTCATCTATCGTGCCCTTCAATTTTTCAATTTTCTTCCGAAAATAACTCAATTAATTATGAGATGCATATGCACTAGCCAAATTGCGATCCTAGTTAACGGAGCTATCACAAAATTCTTCACTCCAAATAGAAGTATTAAGCAAGGATGCTCCCTTTCACTTTATATAGTCATCCTCTGCATGAAAATGCTATCATGACTCATTCTTCATCAAGTGGACACCTGTTTATGAGATCCCATACATCTGAGCAGCAAAGACTTAGGCATATCCCATTTATTCTTCACTGATGATCTTACCCTGATGGCAAGGGCAAATTAAAAAATTACAAAATCATTGACAAATGCCTAAAACTGTTCTGTAACCTATCAGGTCAAGCTATCAATCTTCAAAAATCAAAAATCATATTCTCCAAAAACTGCACGCTTGAAACATCTAACTACATTGCTAATGGCTTCAACATCAAGATTAACCACTCTTATGGAAAATACTTAGGTTTCCCTATTCTTGATAGAAATCCTAAAGGCTCTGACTACTAATTCATCATAGATAAAATGTGTGATAGGTTGTCAACTTGGAAAAGAAAGTTCTTAGACATAGCCGGTAGAACCACGCTAACGATAGCCACAAATTCTATCCCTAATCATGCAATTCAATACACAATACTCCCAACCATAATTCAAAAACAAATAGATCAAATTCAGAAAAATTTCATCTGGGGAACTACTAATAAAAAGAAAAAATTGCATCTCATTAGTTGGGATACCATTACAATGCCTAAACAATTAGGAGGGCTTGGCATTAAAAAGCTAGTTCTAAGAACATTGCGCTTCTAAGTGGACTAACTTGGCGGATCCTAACCAACCCTATGGCACCATGGGCTAATATTCTTATAAAAAAATATGGTTAAAAAGGATCAAAAACCCTTTGTTTATTTGAAAAAGTATTCTCAAAGTAGATCTGTCAAAATGGGCAGGGCCGTGCTAGCCCATCCTAGTCCATGTGGGCTTTTTCAATTGACGGGCTGGGGTAGGCTAGCCTACCATTTTGATGGGCCTTATAATGGTCAGCCCATCCTAGCTCTATGTGGGTTGCAGGTCCATAGGGGGCGGCCCATCATTTTTTAAAACATAATTTTGTATTTTTGTAAGTTCTAATCTAAAAAAAGATAAATATTTAAAAGTTAAAAAAATCTTATTGGAGAAATTTCACAAAACTTAATAACATTTATATTGTTCCAATATATCACAATGAATACTAAAAAAGTAAAAGACGAGACTATATTTCATTCACTAAAAGTCAAAACTCAAAACAAAATATTCAAAAGAACATCCATGACGCTTATGAGATATCTAATACACACATCATATTCATCAAACACATTTGAATCCGCTTGTGAGAAGGTTGGCTTAACATCTTTATTTTCATCTACATTTACAATTCGCATGCAATATTAATTAGTTAAAT